AATATTTTGTTTTGTTTTTAGTGCATTTTGTTTTGTTTTTAGTGTATTTTGTTTGGAAGTCGGTTTTGTTTTTTTATTAAAAAGTTTTTTTGTAGTATTCATAATTTTAAATCATTATAAAATTATTACGGTAGTTAACACTTTAGACAAGGTATCAATTATGTTGATTTACCTTCATTATATTCACTTATCTATTTATTTGACATGTTAATTAAATACTTAATATTACTGTAAATAAAACCTTATTTACGTCTTTATTAGGCTGCGATTTTTTTACGGAGTTGAAAGAATTTTAACATCTGTAAAGAAAATTATTGCTATGTTCAAAGAGAATGAAAGTGATGATATTATGATAATATTTCCTGTATGTTGTTATGATTGTTTACCCTGAACCATTGCATATATGATGTACTAGCTGTAGCCCGCGACTTAGCGTATACCGTTTGCACAGTGGGCTAAAATATCAGCTTACATAGACATTCAAAACATCATATGAAAATGTCTATGTTTGACGACATTTTAGCCCACTGTACCCATCGCGTGTTTTGTGACCACGGCCTAAAAGTTAGGACTACCATTTTTTTTTTAATTAACTATTTTTTGTATAGCGACCAGGCTGAGGCCCGTCGTAACAAGGTGAAGGAGGCCCGCAAGCGGCGCGAGGAGCGCATCGCCGCCAAGAAGGAGGAGCTTCTGCAGTCCTTCGCCCGCGAGGATGAAGCCGCCGTCACCGCTAAGAAGTAATTCTAAGTACCCTATTGTAAAAAAATGATTCAATAAATACTTTGAATCCATCGCTGTCTTTTATTTGCGTAATTTTGAATAAAAAATAGTAAATTTTTCTTCTATACTAAATATTGCATGGTCTATTGCCATGGAGTGTATCGAAAATAATTACTGGCCGGATAATTACTCTTCTAACTCTGAGGGCAACTTTCCGGCATTCGCATTCCGTAGTGATCGCAAATTCACAAATCCATAAAGTGCAATAAAAACAAAATTAAACATTTTCTCTAGATCATTTTTTAAATAGCAATAAACATGATGTCTGTCACATTAAAATGTTTGACCTGAACGCGACGAGTGTTTTAAGGTCACTCATGTGAAAGTATGCAGTCAAGTCAGTATCGAATAGACCTAGTGTTGTGTAGACGCGTCTGACCGTAATAAACCGCTAACGCCGTGTAACGTCTTATTCGTAACTAAACGCATAGTAAAATATGAATAAAATCAACCAAGATTTGCAAAGAGAACGTGACAAATGTACGTTCAATATTCAAGAATTAACGACTTTGATTGACGGAGGACCAGAGAAAACAAGAGAAAGAAAAGATAGAGGTAATTTGTTAGCTAAATTAATATTTTTAAATTAGTAGTAGTGAAGTGGTCAAACAAATAAAAAAAATACGCGCAAAAATTCACGTTCACTCATAATTTTAAATAAACTTCTTAATTGCAAGATAGTTTATGTAACCGACTTCGCAATTTATAAACATGTTTCGAAAATTCGTTTCATTTTTGAAGCAACTGTTTCAATAATTTTAACGTAATAATTCCATTTTAAGAATTATCTATTCTTGTTACTAAAAGAACATTGCTTCGATTCAATCTATCATTGTGTTTCTATAAGTGTCTTACATGTTGCTGTACCGGTTTTGGAATTTTCCAATAATTATTAAGTACTCGTAATATTACACAAATAAGTAACGTCGAGAGAAGACATTATTTTTAAATACATTTTTAGCTAATTGGCTTTGTGTTGTTATTGGAGATCGAAGCCTAATACTCAAAGGCCGGAAATAGTGAGTAAAACAAGGTAGAAAATAAGAAAGGAAGGGAAGAATATGAAGGATATTTTTAATATTAAAATCATTGTTTTAGAAAATGTAATGCTTAGTAAAAGAGAGGTATTCGACGGAGTTCCAGAAGAGTATCTCAGTCACAAGGAGAGATATGAAAATGCTATCAGAAATTCCGTTATTGCGTTTAGTTTGGTACGAAAAATGCAGGAAGAGGGGAAGACAAGTATAAGTAATTACAGGTAATTATAAATAGCTTCAGATTTTTTTTCTATTCATTTTTTCAAAGGGAAAATTAAGACTTTTTGAATGACTAGGGACGTGGTCGGAGGTCTTCTTGGATCGTCCGTGCTAAGGGATGGTTCCCCACTAGGACTGCATTATATCATGTTCATGCCGGCCATTTTGAATCAGGGTAATGAGGAGCAGCAAGAGAAATGGCTGCCTCGTGCTTGGAATTGCAGTATCATCGGTAGTTACGCTCAAGTCAGTAAAACTATGTTCTCTATTATCTGAATGATACGTTACAAAATCATGATATATTTTTAAGTTTAGAATTATTCATCTGCTTTTAGAATGACAGACGGTATTTGTATTTGGCTTTTGTTTTTTTCAGACGGAGTTAGGTCACGGCACGTTCATCCGCGGTCTGGAGACGACGGCGACATACGACGCGGCTGCAAAGCAGTTCGTGCTGCACAGCCCCACACTCACCGCATACAAATGGTGGCCTGGAGGACGTAAGTATACCATAATATACTATTATGCTATGGACATGGTCACTCGTCATTTCTATCACCATTTGTAATTTTCCAGTTGGTCAAACCGCAAATTATTGTATCGTAGTAGCTCAGTTGTACACAAAAGGACAATGCCATGGCATCCATTCTTTTATCATACAAGTTAGAGATGAAGAAACTCACATGCCTTTGCCTGGATTAAAAATCGGTGAGATTGGCGCGAAATTAGGCTTGAATGCGGTCAATAATGGATTCCTGGGTTTCGATAACTTTAGGATACCGAGAACTAACATGTTGATGAAACATGCACAAGTTTTAGAAGTAAGTAATGTTTAGACCTTTCCATCATTTAACAAGAAGATTATTAAAATTGGTATATTTATTTTAGGATGGTACTTACGTTAAATCTCGGCACAGTAAGTTGAATTATGGTGCCATGGTGTTTGTTAGGGTTGTCATCGTGTTTGACATGGTTAACTATTTGTCCAAGGCGGTAACGATCGCAATCAGATTCTCAGCAGTGAGACGACAATGTCAATTAAAAGCCGGGTATGTTGAATTCAAAATTTATTTCACTTGTTTCAAAACTAAAACATGCTTAACTGTGCTCTTGTGATCTTTAGAGCGTATGAACACCTGAAACTAAACTATCGCACAACTGTTTAGTCTTGCTTTGATTCCTATGACCTTATATGGAGGAGTGCACACTACTCGATTTTCGGTTGTGGAACTAAACAGATGGATTTGTAGCGAAACAATCGACAATCGTTCACCAGTTACACCCTTACTGTTCTAAAAAAATGAATGTTCAAATTCAAATAATTTTCTATGTTTTATTTAATAGTTTACTGAAACATATTAACCTGAAGGAAATCTCATCGAGGATTTTTAGACGCTAGATTTTTTTTATATTGGTACAGTGAAGCCGAGTGTCAGATCTTGGACTATGTGACGCAGCAGCACAAGCTGCTGGTGTGCGTGGCGGCCGCGCACGCCTTCCGCATCACCGCCAACAAGCTCTGGGTGACATTCAACGAGGTCAATGAACAGCTCGTCGAAGGAAATATGCAGCGACTGCCTGAAGTAAGTGTTAATATAATTTCACTACCATTTTATCGTAATTAGTTCTCAGTAAATTTAAAATTTATATTTATGCTACAAATATTTCTTTGACATGTTGTTAAAATTTAAACAGTGACCTGCTTGCATGAGGTCAATAAGTTATCAATTAAGGTGAATGTACTGAGATTATGGTTTCTACGCATATCATATGGACCTCTTTTCATATTTTCTAAAGTGGTATATGTATGTTTGAGAGGATATTGGGTTGCAATGGAGAGTGGCGAGCAAATGATTAATTAATTTGTTGATCTACGCACTAAAATGTAACCCAAATAAAATATAATCAAATTAATTGAATCAATAATAATACTAAAAGGATTTTTATTTATTTTACTAAAAGTTAAAAAAAAACATAGACGATTAAAGAGTAAAGAGAATAATATTAAATGTTATTCGGGAGCAAACGTTCGACCTGACGTGACCCATATTGTTTGTATGTTAAAGATTGTAATTAACTATTCGTTGACCATCGTATCACTTTTTATCCATTATGTTACGTATTTTTTTAATGACTAATAATTATTTCGGTGTTTTTATTTAGATTTAGTTAACAAACATACTTTAAACTTAGACAAAGAGTTGGTACGAAGCTTAAATTATTTAATTAAATAGTTTACAATCAACTTCGTTAAGGCTTCTCACTTTTACCTTGTTGTCATCATCAACTTGCCCTTGTCTCTACGGATGATCGGCGCAGTATATGCTCTTCCATACATTTCTATGAGCCGTCATATCTGAATCCACTCCCTTCCCAAGCATATCCTCTTTCACACAGTCCATACATATTTACTTAGGAAATTAAAACCAGTATTAACGTCGTGATGCAACCTGCACGTATCGGTGAAGAAATTCAAACATATGTGTGAAGTCAACCAACCCGCTCTGGGCCAGAGTGGTTGACTATGGCCTAATCACCCTAACTTAGGGTATGCTCCGAGCCCTTCGGTGGGGACTTATAGTGAGCTGATGATGATTAACGTGCCAATAACAAACCTTTTCAGTTACATGCACTAGCTTGTTGTTTGAAAGCAGTCACTACGGCGGACACAGCGGCATGCGTGGAGCGCTGCCGCCTCGCGTGCGGAGGACACGGCTACATGATGTCGTCCAGCTTACCACTTACATACGGCCTCGTCACTGCCGCTTGCACATACGAGGGCGAGAACACAGTTCTACTACTGCAGACTGCCAGGTTACACTTTAAAATAGATATTAATTCTAGAAAGTTAACTAATAAAAACTTATGTGAGACATCATACTAGAATTATAAAATAACCTAATACATATCGGTAATAAACAGGTCGGTGTATATACCGAATTTTTCACGTGAGTTAAGCCATGTTTAACAATTAATAACGTGAAAATATAGTGATTTTTTAACGCCACGGACCAGAAATACGCTGTTTATTAATAGTTCCTCAGTATTAGTAATAATAAAAATCAACTAAAAAAATGGGACCCACCTGCAAGCATTACCTTTCGGACATAAAAAGAATTATCAAAATCGGTCCACTAGCGGCGGAGTTATGCCGAACACACATTAAAAAATAAAAAAAAAAACATACAGACGAATTGAGTACCTCCTTCTTTTGGGAAGTCGGTCATAAATATAGCCTATGTTACTCACAGATAAATAACCTTTCAAACGGTGAAAGAATTATTTTAATCGGCCCAGTAGTTTTTGAGTTATTTCAATACATACAAAAATACAAATCTTTCCTCTTTATAATATTAGTATGTAGATATTCCAGAAAGTAATATTCTTAGAGAAAAGACCTTTACTCAGAATTCAAACCAATATTATTAAATTTAGCGTATCTGTAAAGATTATAACAAAACAATGCATTCGTTATTAGGCTATAATTATACTTTCAGATTTTTAGTAAAGACATATCAACAATTGGACTCGAAGACCCTGACGCCGACAGTCGCGTATCTGAAGTCGGCAGCAGCTGATGGGTTTTGCGATAGTTGGTCCAACACTACGGATGGAATTATACGGGGATTTCAAGTAGTCGCTATGAGGTATGCAGGGTTAAGTAAAAGTGTTATCATTTTAAAGGGTTTAGGATAAGGTAGTTGACAGAAATAGCCACAATGGCTTTGAAGTAACTCAAATTGGACGATTTGCTTATTTTTCCAGAGACATGTATATAGAATTTTACTTAGTTTAGATGGATGGATGGATGTCAGAGTTTGTACCCTAAACAGCTGAATGTAATGTAACAAATGTTTGTAGGAAGATTGGCCAGTGTGTTACAGTAATGACGAACAGGGTGAACAGAGGTATGTCATTTGAAGATGCTTGGAACATGACATCAGTGCAGTTGGTCGCCGCCGCTGAAGTACGTGAAACTATATATAAATCAAACTAAATAATTACTTGAATAATTAAAAAAATGATACATAGTACAAATAGACAGATTGCAAAATTCTGTTCATCCTCGTATCTGTTATCGGTGGTATTTCCAAACCAATACGACTTTTAAAGGATTTTATCGAAGAAAACGCCTTAGAGTCCTTCAAGAGAGCGTATTACCAAAGGCAACGCTTCTGTTCCTCTGAAATTTGGATGTTCATGGCTTGTTGTTGTTAACATTATAAAAAGGTACTATTCCTATATTCTGGATATTAATTATTTGTTATTATTTTAGGCACATTGTAGAGTTATAATAATGTCGACTTTCTTGGAAGAAGTGCAGGAAATGTCGAGGACAGTGTCGCCGCAACTGAAGGATGTTCTATACCAGCTCGTGGAGTTATATTGCGTTTATTGGGCATTGGAAAAACTAAGCGATTTACTATTGGTAATATAGTACTTTTATGACTAATTTTAACTAAATTTATCAATAAATAAATTTTAACTGAATAATATCATTTAGGCATGAAGATTTTGTATTTAGTTTACAGAAATTATAGTGACAATCCAGTTTATTTTGCTTTTTAAAACTTTAGGAACCAGTTCATAAAATAAATCGTTTATTTTATTATTTCAATCAGTTTATTTTCTTTCAGTACACGCCGATTTCTCAAAAGGAAGTTGAATTGTTACGATTGTGGTACGAAGAGACGTTGACAAAATTAAGGCCGAACGCAGTCGGTTTGGTTGATGCATTTGATTTACGAGACGAAGTAAGTTACTTCCAAAGACAATATTTATTCTATATTTGCTCAAGATCTCACAAGGTTTAATAAATTAATAATTAGTTGGAGATTTCATGAATTAACTTTGTTTTAGATGTTGCAATCAACGCTGGGGTCTTACGATGGTAGAGTTTACGAGCGTCTGATGGAAGAAGCTATGAAGAGTCCGCTCAATGCTGAGCCTGTCAACCACACCTTCCATAAATATTTAAAACCTTTCATGCAAGGAAAATTGTGATATCATGATATATTAAACTGTGATTTATTATTTTATAAAACATATTTTTCGATTTCATTAAATTGCATTTTCATTTTTACATATTTACAAGGTCTTATTAACCTATTGTTTGCAATTGCAATAAAATTATAATAAAATAATGATAGAATTGCATGTTGTATATTTATTTACAATTTAGGTATCCATATACCCTAATATTCATTCCATATTCATTACTTTAACACAAAAACATAGAAGTAAAATATCAAATTGAATTTTGAGGTTAGGTTCAATTTTATTGGCAAATAAGAGCACAGAAACCACTTTATCGTTAGATAGATTAGTTACAAAGGTCGACCGAGTTGCACGTAAGTTGCTTCATGTTTAAAACATGTATAATAAATTACTGTGTGTTTGCACTTTGCATTGGATTGTTTAAAACATTCACAAAAACACTAACTTCTGCGAAAAAAACAGACATCGTCTTAACGTGAACCATTCACAGTGCTAACATACAGTCACGTAGTAAAATACAAGTTTCGTAAATAATTCGTTACGTACTCAGAGTAGAAATTGAGAAAACACTTTGTCCTACATTCCGAAAGTTAACAGTGTTTACGAATTGCGTATTTAGTGAGTTAAAAGATATATTTTTAGATCTTTATAGTTCTTAAATAAGGTACGTACGTATATAATTATTATAAGCACTATAACTATAACAGACAGGACACAAAAGAATAAAATCAAATAAGATGGAACACACACATACGTCGCTGGCTATAATAATGACCAATTATATCAATCACATTTATATTGCCGTCCTCTCCATAATGCACTGAAAAACTGAGTTTTGCTCTGATAGATGGCGCTTATTTATATTACAAGGTAACATTTTACTCCAATGTATCACAGATGGCACTGAAGACATTTTTGAATGAAATGAAAAGTTCTTTTGATTAACACTCAAAAATGCTTTACTGTCCATCTTTAGGAAGAGAGAAATACGCCTCAAAGAGTACTGTAACATATCTAGAAAAAATGGTAGTGGGAGCCTCCCTTTTGTCTTTGCCTAAAAAGTGGCACAGTACTTGTTTAAAACACAAAACACGGTGGAAAAGTCATAGAAGTCAGGCGACTAATTTGTACTTTGTACTGGAGAGTTAGAAGTTAGAATAATATCATGCTCCGAATGCTTATGATAAGATGTTCTTATGTTTTGTAACGTTATATTATTAAATATTTGAGTTTATCAGCCGCGGGGTACCTGCTGTCTTGATAGTATATCATTTTATTTATCAACATATCTGCTTAAATATGCAAGAATGTGTCGTTTTAATTGTTTACATTTGTACATTTTCACAGTTAAGGTGAGGTGTTTTTTATTTACAATTTTATTAAATTTTGAGTTTAACGGTTTGTAGTGCTTGATTTAGATTTGCTTGTAAATAAATATCTAAAATATGCGAGTCTATTTGTGTATCGGCTGAATGCCAATTTGTGTTCCAAATTCCATTGTTTATAAATCAATAGGTCAATTGGGATAATTTGTTACCGTGGGTTTCTATGTTGGGTTTATGCTTCTATAAATCGCAGTGCGAGGGGCATCACCGTTAAGACTTTACATAGGTATTAATTGACCGCAATATATTATCTAAAATAATTCTCCTGAAGTTAACCTAATATTACTCTGAGAATGCACAATTAAGCCATTGTATTTTAAACTGCTATATTTGTGTTTTTGGCAATATTATTTGGCATGGAAAAAAAAGTGGTTTTAAAGAACACAGTATGAAAAAACCCACAACTCATAAGTTACTATAATTATTAATTCCCAAAAAATGTGCTTTTGTGTTTTACACGGTTTCTCAATATCTTTAATAAATGAATTTCGCACGTAGGTAGTATTAGACAACTTATTTAATTGATACTGTCGCTTTTAACTCAGAGCAATACTTCTCGTCAAGACTTGGGATGCGCGCCAAATCTATCCATACTTCTAGTGACATTGACAGCTGTCAGCTAGGGACGTGACGTTTATGCCGATAATCTAGAGTTGCGCCAATTCTATAGCACGGTACTAATTTTATTCCTAACAGTAGATTCGGGCCACAGCTAAAAAGGTATAAAATTTTGCACAGACTCACATGTAGGTACATTTTTGTGTTATTTACGCACGTGTAAGTATACTATTAACTACGCACAATCATTGAAGAAGAATTTTATTTTCGCGGGTAATTTCGTCTGGTCAAAAAAAACTTACTAACTATAGTTAAAATACTCAATTTTAATGTTTTTTCTTAGCGCGTTAAATAGTTACTTACGTTATTTCACGCTCATCACATTGAAATACGAAACCGAAGCGGATTCTAAAGGGGCGTCCTTTCGCAATCGCCTAGTAAGGAAACATAGAGCAAGAGAAATCTAACCTGAAAACTATCGAGACCAGGGGTCGCCAGGAAGTTAAGAGCGGGGAAAGTTGTCTCCTTAGTTGTGTCCTCCTTAATCAAAAAATGTAAAATAGATATAAAAACTACTAAGAATAAGACCATAATAAATATGGCTGACTAGTTCCACTCAAGACGTTTCTTAACCAATAAAAACTCTGTCATATACATAGACCACCAAATTATATGTCCCGGTAGTCATAAGTGAAACTATATTATGATAGCTCACTAACGCCCTCTTTTATACCTATTTTTTCCATATATATTCTGACAGAACTAGACGCAGCACCTTTCTTACCGGGCTATTTATCTTCAAATATACTAAGTGCCGGCGCACCTCAGACTAAAATATCACACAACTGTTGTGCGATTGTCGATTGCTTCGTAGCCCATTCAACTGTTTAGTACACAACTAAAACTCGAGTAGTGTGCGAACATCCATATCATACTAATATTATAAATGCGAAAGTTTAGATGGATGGATGGATGGATGTTTGTAGCCTTAACGGCTGGATCGCTATGAAATTTGACATAGATGAAGAGAATAGTATGATACAGAGGCTACTCACTTTTTTTTTTTTATTCTAAGCGGACTGAGTCGCGGGCGAAAGCTAGTAAGGTCATAAGAATCAAAACGCGACTAAACATTTGTGCGATAGTTTAGACAAAAATACAACTTCAATGTGATCGAGGCGTTAATTAATTCAACGTATGGATGGTAAAAAACTTAAGTATAAAATTATCGTTAATGGTAATGTCCCGACTTACTCGAAAATATTATTATTATGAGTAACGGTTTGTGCGTTCAATTAACTTATGTAGGTACTTATTTCCTATGACTAAACTTGTAACTTGTAGTATTTAGGTGAAGAACCTTTTCTTTACCATGTATGGATAAGATGGTTAGTAATTAAGTTCGTAGGTATGTAATTTATAGACCTACTAGCTTTCGCCTGCGACCCTGTCCGCGCGGAATTAAAAAAAAAATCATGTAGCCTATGTGTTCTTTCAAACTATCCTCTACATCTATGCCAAATTTCATCAAAATCCGTTCAGCCGTTTGGGTTACAAACTCTAACATCCATCCATCTAAACTTTCGCATTTTTAATATTAGTATGATAGACTTATAGACATCTAGACTTATAAACTCTATGTTGCCATTAAAACCGTAATAAGATACCGAACAATATTTGACTTATAAAATAAATACTGCATCTGATAAACAAAGAATCCATTAAGGATTGCAACTAATCGAAGTCTATGCTAATGTGTTGTTAGCTTCTCTTATCGGCAGTCAATTGCATCGTTGCAATTAGTACCATAAAATAATGGAGAAATTATTATATTTCACGAGGGTTACAGGTATCTAAAACATTGAAGCTTTTTCATCAAGTTGTTTAGTTTCTATCTAATTTCTTTCTTTTTTTAATCACATCATGAAGTAATTTAAAGATTTTCAAGTTATCTATACTCATCATCCACTTGCCCTTATCCCTTATAGAGGGTCGGCACAGTATGTGCTGCTCTTCCATACATCTCTATCAGCCGTCATATCTGAATCCACTCCTTTCTTAAGCATATCTTCCTTCACACAATCCATCCATACTTTCTTCGGTCTTCCTCTTCCTTTGTAGCCATCCACATTCAATCTCAACAAGTTGTCTATACTACTCGTAATATTATAAAGAGGCAAGATTTGTATTTTTGTTAGTATGAAATAACTCAAAAACTACTGGGTCGATTTAAAAAATTCTTTTAACATTAAAAAGCTACGTTATCTCTGTGTAACATCGGCTATATTTTTAAATTTCACGTAAACGAAGTCGCTCATAAAATTCTTTATTTTACTTTTTAATGTTTTTACCGTTTGGTGGAATTCGTGCATTGGTGTTTCCACAGCCAAAGCCAGCTCTTTATCCTGCCAATACAAACATATATCGTAACTAGATTTTGCCTGCGACTCCGTCAGTGTATTATTAAAACAAAAGTAGCCTATTCGTTCTTTCAGACAGACTACATCTATGCCAATTTCATCGACAACCATTTAGAGTACAAACTGTATAGTTACAGTATGTTAGGACATTCATCCGCCTATCTTAATTTACGCATTTATAATGTTAGTTAGATTTAGTTTTATTTTACCTGTAAAAATATGATTCTTTTAATTCTAATAATGTTAGTGACGTAACTCTTTATTGCGTTTCTTTCTAACTTCCTTTGCAAAACGTATAACTTATTCATTACCGTTTTATATTGAGTGATCGTGCACGTTCCGTGTATTTACAGATATTTATATTAACTATAAAATATCAATAAAAAATAACAAGCAATCAAGTGGCTAATTAAATGTTGTATTCAATTTTCAGTTGGTTTTTAACTAATAGTAGTAAGCGAAATAAATATCTTTAATTTAAAAACGTTACATTTAAAAATAATCTTATAACATTTATTGGTGTCGATTTTTAGATATCAACATGAGTGGTATAAACGAAGATTTGGTCAAAGAGAGAAAGAAATGCACATTTGATATTGAGGAATTGATACATCTTGTGGATGGCGGGAAACATAACACGTTGGAGAGGAAAAAGATTGGTAAGCAAGAGAACTATGTATACTAATAATACAAAGAGGAAAGATTTGTAATTTTGTATTTTTAGATGTATTGTAATAACTTAAAAACAATTGGGCCGATATCAAAAATTCTTTCACCATTAAAAAGCTCGTTATCAATAAGTAACGTAGGCTATTTTTTAAATTCACGTGAGCGAAGTCGCGAGCAACAGCTAGTTATAGATACAATGTAACTTTACTTACTGTTTATTACTACAGTTTAATATAGTCAAAACCATCATCATTTATCTGCTAATTTGTAATATAATTCTTACATAGAATGCAGAAGGACAACAATAAAACAAAAAGATTCAAACCTTACATAAATATATAAAAGATTGTTCGTTTCTATTTCTATCGTATCGACAAGAAAAACCGTTAAGTTTCTAATGTTTCTGTTATTTTTAGAGGAATACGTGTTAAGTATAAAGGAATTGAAAGACGAAGTTCCCGAAGAGTACCTAGGGCATAAAGAACGCTATGAGAATTCTGTGCGGAAGGGATGCATCCTCTATATGTTGCTTATGAAACGGTTGCTAGAGACTAAGCCAAGTCAAGACGATGGGTATGTTTTAACAGAAATTTACTGTTAATAATATGCATCATAATTAATTATTTGAATGTTTGACAATTTGTCTTGCAATATTGGCGTTTCAAACATGCGATAGTTTACGTAAGAACCTATGTGTTACACAGGTTTATGTTATTTTATTTTATAGAATATCTTATAACTACAAAATAGTGAATGGCGTGGTTAAAGACATAACGCCGTTCATGCTCCACTTCGGTATGTTTCTACCGACGCTCGCCTCACAAGCCTCTCAGGAACAACAGCAGGAATGGCTTAAAAAAGGCAGCCAAATGATCGGCACTTATGCTCAGGTAACTCCCGTCTTACATAACAGATTTTATTTTCTTATTGTAACCAGCATTTTTATCATTTAATAATAAAGATTACGCATTGTTAAGATCTCTTTGTATTTCTTTATATACCTGTTTGTATTCGCCGTGTCTTTTTAATACATTTATCAATGTTTTCCAGACTGAACTTGGTCACGGAACGTTTTTAAGAGGTTTGGAGACTACCGCAACGTATGACGTTAACACTGAAGAATTTGTCATGCATAGCCCCAAGTTGACATCTTACAAATGGTGGCCCGGAGGATGTGAGTATATAATTTCTAAACCAAAGAGTATTTAATTTAACTAATTGATATTAATTATTGTTTGTCGGATTTTTTTAGTGGCGCAAACTGTAAACCACTGCATAGTAATGGCCCAATTATACATCAACGGAAAGAATCACGGCATCCACCCCTTTTTGGTACAAATACGTGATATAGAAACTCATATGCCGTTACCTGGGATCAAAGTGGGCGATATTGGACCCAAACTTGGATTCCAAACCGCCAACAATGGATTTCTTGGATTTGAAAACTATCGAATTCCAAGAATGAACATGCTTATGAAGAATTCCCAAGTTTTAAAGGTTTGTTGCTATAGAAATCTAATTTTTAGTTTTACCTAAAATTTTAATTAATCAAAAAAACGCAATTTAAACAAACTAGGAGAACCATCATTGAAATATTCTCTAAGTAGTTCAGGGCTCTTTCTGCAATCTCATAACTTTATGGAATTCACAGGACGGTACATACGTGAAAGCAAAGAACGACAAGTTGACGTATGGCACGATGGTGTTCGTACGAGTCACGATAGTAGCGGACGTGGCGTACGAGCTGGCGCGCGCCGCCACCATCGCCGTGCGCTACGCCGCCGTCAGACATCAGTCTAAACCCAAACCTAAGTGAGTTTACATACCAGATAATTATATACCTACATATATGCCCTAGTCACCCCTTATTAGGGTAGGCTCCGAGCCCCTCGGTGGGGACGTATAGTGAGCTGGTGATGATGATGATGATTATGACATATACGCATTTTCTTTAGGGATAAAATTGTGTTCAAAAGCAATGCTCAGATTTAAAAGCATTGTCAGAATTAAATGTTTCAAAATTTAAGGAAATTAAAGCGTATTACTTTGTATTAGTGAGCCGGAGCCTCAAATCTTAGACTACGTGACGCAGCAGCACAAGCTGTTCATAGCGGTGGCGACGAGCCACGCCTTCCGCACCGTGGGCCGCTGGCTGTGGGCCGCCTACACCAGGGTGGTGGCGGACATGCGCCGCGGGGACATGGACCAGCTACCCGAGGTACGAATGCTATTTACACACGACAAATCAAAGCATCGGCTAAGGCTGCGTCCCTATATAAAATGTAAAATAGATATTATTATATCTACTTAGAATAGGAATCATAAAAATGGTAGTTTTATCTCGACTAAAAACTTGAAAAGTACAAAGATAAAAATTTTAATTGTTTAGCTACCTCAAACCTAGATTAAATTTTGAGATGAACTTAACTAAAAACATTTGAAAAAAAAAAAAGCCAAATCTTGATTATTACTTTGGTTGGTAGCTACACGCTCTAGCGTGCTGCCTGAAGGCGGTGTGCAGTAAGGACGCCTCGGCGTGCGTGGAGCAGTGCCGCTTCGCGTGCGGCGGACACGGCTACATGCAGTCCTCCAACCTGCCCATCATATACGGCATCGTCACCGCCACCGTCACATACGAAGGAGAGCATACTGTCATGTTGTTGCAGACTGCTAGGTCAGTTGAAATCTAAATAGATGTAAAATAAGGGGGCAATCGGGCGGAACACCTATGGACATTCGGAATACCAGAGGAAAAGCAATACGTTGCCGGTCTTTGAGGAAATGGCACGCTCGCTTTTTGAAGGACTTTAACTCGTACTGGTTTGAAAATAACGCTGAGGTAAGACCATTTCACAACGTGGCTGTGCGGAACAGAGTTTTGTGAGAACGTTAAAACGTCTGTAAAACAATTCATTTAAAAACTACCCAAAAAAATTTGATGTACCTTATAATAGACAGTGTAGTTTTGCTAAAATATGCCGAAAAAGTTTTGTATAGGGAATATGTTTTCGTTCATGTTTATTCACGTTTCCTTGTGGGTCGATAGTTACGGATGAATTTATTACAATTAAGAATTCTTTTGTGGTAAGTTTTTAGATTTGGATATATTCAAAATCTTTCATGTCTTGTATGTTGAACATAGAAAGAAGTGAAATTGATTGTCATTGCTTTTTATCTTTTCAGATATCTGGTAAAATCTTACAAGCAAGCGAGTGAGGGCAAAAGTCTAACGCCGACTGTGGCTTACTTGTCCAAGTACTTGACGAGTGGCAGCCACAACTGGCAGAACACGCCTGAAGGTATCATTGGAGGCTTTCAATCTGTCGCAGCGGGGTAAGATGTAACGAGAAATCTTGCTAATATTATACATGCGAAAATCTAGATTTGCAGCCTAAACCGCTTAACGGGTCTTGATGAAATTTGGCAAAGATAGATGGAGGGTAGTCTGAAAGAATACGTAGGCTACTTGCTTTTGTTTTTTTTTTTAATTCCACGTTTAATTCCGCACGGATGGAGTCGCGGCTGAAAACTAGTACACTATAATTTTAAATTGATTATTACGTTTGTTCTAACGATCTAATAATTCATTTACGTAACGTATTTTCTTATGCTTTAGGAAGACTAAAGAAGCTTGTGAATCCTTGTTCCGTCACGTCAAGTCGGGGAAGGATTACGAAGATGCTTGGAATTTATCATCTGTGCAGCTAATCATCGCCAGTGAGGTAAAATAGACTAAATTCTCAAACGTTAAGCCTAATTTTAAGTATTTTCTGTTTAAATATTGTCATTTTATATCCCAGGCGCATGCTCGTGCTGTTCTATGTGAGATGTTCTGGAAAGAGATACAAAGAATATCATCGACAGTGTCTCCTAACTTGGCGATAGTTTTGGAACAGTTAGCGGAACTGTACCTTAAGTACTGGGCTTTAGAGAAACGCGGCGACATGTTAATGGTAAGAATATATATTAGTTCCAAAAAATAATTAAAAATGAATAATTTACGCTTTTAGTTACGACTTACGTTTTCCAATAAATGTATGCTTTGCAGTATTCGACTATAACTAAAGAAGATATCAGCAGCTTGCAAAGCAGATATGAAGAATTGTTGGCGCTCATTCGACCCAATGCTGTGGGAATTGTTGACGCGTTCGATATCAGAGATGAGGTAGTTACATACCAGTTTCCGCTGCTAAAAACATGTCATACCCTTCATCACTTTTAGGAAACAGAGATATAATATGTTTTTAGGTCTGATGGGGCAACCATGGTCTTTTTTAGTTATGTTATTTATTACATTTTTGGATGTCCCAATCAGAGAGCTGCCCCTTCTGCTCCAGCGACATTGTATGAGAGTGTGTTTAATTATTACATAAGGGTAGAGTAATTTAAATTTCGTTAACATACGAGAGAGGAATAGAGAGGGAGCGAGAGGCTAGATAAAAAATAACATTGTTTTAGATCCTGTGTTCAACACTCGGTGCATACGACGGTCGTGTCTACGAGAGACTGATGGAGGAAGCCATGAAGAGTCCCCTCAACAAGGAGCCCGTCAACCAGAGCTTCCACAAGTACATCAAGCCCCTACTGATACAAGCCAAGCTGTAAATGCATATACTAGTGATCCGCCCTTGCTTCTCCTGGGTGAAAAATTTATACTTGTCATAATCTTTTCTTATAGTATAGTATAATTTTCGTCAGTACTAATGTAACTTTCTAATAGTGAAATATTTTTTGTAATCGGTACATTAGTTTCGCCTTTTCAATGCAAACAAACAAATCATTCCTCTTCAATACTAGATTAGATAAGTTATAAATGTTTTATATATTTTGTTTTAAATAAAATATATTGATTTAATAAATATTATATTTTTTAGTGCAAACAATATTTTCTGTGTCTGGAATACGATAAGTGACAACAAAAACCAGTTCTATACAGTCGTTTTTATAACTTAAATATAACTGGAATAACGATTTACATACTAATCGTATAATTTGACGTTACTTGAAGAGAATTACGAAAGAGTTATACATAAGTGAAGGAATTGCTGCAATGAGTTGACATTTCAACATTCTTTAACTATCAAACAATAGCAAAGCTTGTGTGTCATATTTTAATGTGATTTTTAACAAAACAAAAGACTGTATTTATTGGAAAAAATCTTTAAAATATCACTGAATAAGTTAACGTTAACTAGCTTATTGCTCAATGACGTAAAAAAGGATTTGCATCATAGAAATAACTGCCTAAGAATTACCTTATGTTATCTTAAAAAAAAAACATACAGACGAAATGAGCACCTCCTTCTTTTGGGAAGTCGGTCAAAAAAGACAATAAATTTTGCGATAAACCACTAATACAAGGATACTAATTCGTGTAATATGTCAAAGTCAAGGTTAAAAATTAGTAATAGAATATTATACGTTTTTGTTTAATATCATGTCCAAAGACCTTTTTAACCAACTTCTAAAAAGGAGGAGGTTTATCTCTTGTCTAATTATCTTGTTTCTTTCTCTTTTTCTGTTGTAAATAAGGCAGCTACTGATTTAGACGAGTTTCCATTATCGAAACACCTTTACAATACAATACATATATAGCTTGTTCAATTTTCCTAGAGAAAATGATCAGATCAAAATAATTTACTCTTCTTTTAGGTTACTTTTACAACACGTCCTAATTTTGATTACAATTCGAATCTTAACCTTATTTTAAATTAGTTTGTACTGCAACTGGTCCATAATTGCTTAATACGTCAATTTTATCATTGTCTGGTTCAGTCATTCGATTTGCATACAGCGGTCATTTGTTTGTAATACTACGTCTCGAAATTCAGTACAAATTTACACTCTGTAGAGCGACGGCCGTCATTGCGCGAACATTTTCAACACTGCACATAAATATAACGTAAAAATGACTAAAGGACAGTTCGAGGTGAATCCAGATCTTAAAAAGGAGAGATCGAAATGTAATTTTAATATCCAAGAGGTCACGTTTATAATCGACGGTGGCAAAGACAAAACTATACAGAGGAAAAAAATTGGTAAGTCAAATGAAAATAAGTCTTAAAATTCAACCGGTTAATAATTAATGCTGTGGCAAAAAAAACGTTTACAATTTCCAACCGTGCAACCGAATTTACATCTTAATTGTGATTAAATATAAAATGCATTGTTAGTTTGTTGTATTTATATCAGTCTTTTTACTGGAACGAATTGGAAATTATTTAGTTATTCGGATTGACAATATGTTAATATTTCCACTGTTTAGTTAGAAATGAACATCTATAGTGAGTTAGTCACTTTCCTATATCCTATGACAGACAGCACTAAATTCCTTGCTAACTTAGTCGTTCTTTTTATAGTAATACTAACTTTCGCCGGCGTCTCAGTCCGCGTGGAAAATAAAACAAAAGAGAGTAATCTATGTATTCTTCCATATTTTCCTCTACATCTATGCCAAATTTCATTGAAATTCGTTCAGCTATTTAAGCTACAAACTTTAACAAACATCAATACATCTAAATTTTCACATTTATATTAGTACTCGTAAGATTGCTGACAATGATATCTCTTAAAACTTACCAAAGTAAGTGGAACAATTAGTTCTGTTAGTACTTACATTAAATGCACTTAACGTGCGTATTGCAGATATTGCGATATAGATAAGACATTTATTGATACATTTAATCATTGTTTACTTTTGAAAATACCCTTTATATTATCCTGATGGAGAAGTACTTGTTGGGAAAGGTTAATGCTCTGATAGTAGTGAAAGTATCGCTATGATAAGCAATGGCCTCAGTCCATAAACAAGTAACAAATATGAAACCTTTAATAGACAAGAAAGAGGATGAACACAAGAAAAATAACTTCTGTTTTTCCTCCATGTTTCCTTTGAACATTGAAATTCGATTGCTACAAAGTTATATCATCCCGGTATTAGAAAAAAAATGATTCGAAAAAAAAACACACACACATCTTTAGTTTTTATCCTAACTGCAATGAATACGTTCGACGTTTTTTTACAGAGGATGTAGCATTGACTGCTGCAGCTTCAATAGATAAGGTCCCAGAAGAGTGTCTCAATCTTAAAGAAAGATACGACAACGCAGTCAGGAAGTCCTGCGTCTACTCTAACATTGTCAAGAATGAGTTACTCGAAATCACAGGATTGGAAGCGCTCGGGTAAATTTATGGATATAAAAGTAATGTTATTAGATTTAAAGACCGGGAGTTCAAAATTCAATTTTCATTTTGTTAATGTATACTCCTTAAGAACTTTGATACCGGATGAGCTCGCTTATTGTAATGCAAATATAGAAAATTGCTTTCTATTGTCTTGAGCCTAGGTAAATATACTTTACGTAGCATTTTAAATATCTTATGCCTTATTTAAAATTCTAAACGAAGCCTGAAGTTATTATTTTTTCAATGCGATAGGTTTTTGTTTTTTTTGAAATTCGTATTTTTAGTGTGATAGGCAACCAATGAGCTGTAAAACCTATAGTAAAACCTTCATGTAAAGGTCAGATGATTGAGAGAAAAATATACTTATTATGCTTGGAATATTACGTTTATAGAACTCCGGTACTTCGGCGGACTGCAGATGCATTCTTTAAGGATGTGTCACCATTTATGTTGCACTTGGGGATGTTTGTGCCAACCATCATCGGGCAGTGCACGCCGGAGCAGCAGGCGCAATGGCTGCCCAGGGCCTTGGAGATGCAAATCATTGGCGCCTACGCACAGGTCAAATATCTCTTCGTGTTCCATTTAATTTTCAGAAAAGAGGTTATAATGCACAATGATTCCTGATTTTCGAATAAATCAATATAAGAAATATCTATAGAGGTATCGATTAGTGAAGTAAATTTTAAATTCTGTCAATTTCCAGACAGAGCTTGGCCACGGTACATTCATACGAGGTCTAGAGACGACTGCTACATACGATCCTGAAACCGAAGAGTTTGTGCTGCACAGCCCGACGCTGACTTCAACCAAATGGTGGGCAGGAGGACGTAAGTAAATGCAACAAGAACTTATTAAATAAAAAATCCAATTTGCCAAGGATGAGAAAATAAATTATTTACCTTAAAAAAAAGCTTGTGCGCATATTACAAAATGTGTAATTACGTAAAAACATTCAGGGACATAACCCTAATTTCTTTATTAATCACGTAATAAAAATGCATGAAATCGGTGTCAAAGTGAAATAAAAAATAAATTAAGTAGTTACTTAACAGCAATTAATTGGAATTGTCCTAAAATAATTAAATGTATTGGGATTCTATTTGTTTCGTAAACTGATTTATTTACATACAAAATAATTGGATAAAGTTCGTATTGTAATTGAACGTATTATTCTTAAAATTTTTCATACATCTAATATCATCCTAACAAAATATCTACGCTGAGTTCATTTTGACTGATCAGCTAAATTTATCAGAATTGAGCTATTGTAGCTTAAATATAGTAAAAGGTGACTATGCTATTTATGTAACTGGCAAAATCTCTCATTTCTGCTACATCTTCTGATTATACCATGCATTTGTTTTATTTTTTCTTCTCAGTTGGCAACACTGCAAATCACTGCATCGTCGTTGCACAGTTGTACACAAAGGGTCAGTGCCACGGCACACATCCGTTTATCGTCCCTATTCGAGACCTTGACACCCACGAGCCTTTTCCTGGAGTGAAGGTTGGAGATGTCGGCATCCGTATGGGATTCAACACCGCTGACAACGGCTTCCTTAGATTCAACCAGTATAGGATACCCAGAGAGAATATGATGATGAAAAACGCTAAAGTATTGAAGGTAGATGAACATTTCTTCGTTGTAAATAATTTAACAAACAAAATCCCGAATCATTGATATTCCTTCAATATTGGTCAAACCATAAGTACAAGTACTATACCTACATATTTTATGAGCTCTTGTTTTGTACCAAATAATTTTGATGAATATGCCATCGCATATAACTCGTAGTTTGTCTGTTTGTTTGTTTTATTAAGTACTTATTCTGCAAACAATAATTTTAACACCCAGACTAAATACTGTTGAATAACCCAAAAGTGTTATAGGTCATTTTCTAAAACATGCAAATATGTGGTTCATGTTTCTCAGGATGGTACATACGTGAAAGTGGCTCGCCATGAAAAACTGACATACGGGACAATGGTGTTCGTAAGAGTTACCTTGGTTATGGAAGCAGCATTCAATTTGGCAAAAGCTGCCACCATTGCTGTAAGGTATTCAGCAGTGAGACGACAATCGCAACCTAAACCGGGGTAAGATATTCTTTATCGCTATGTTTTTAAATAAAAAAATTGACTATCATTAGGTAACCTCAAACATATCTATCACTGATGTCCACATCCACGGACAGATGTTTTCTAGATTTTCTTATAGATTTATACTTCTAAACTAATATTACGAGTATAAAAAGCTAGTCAACAATATTTCTATATAGTGTAGGACTGAGATACTCACTGTAGTACTAAATCCTCAGAGAGCCGGAACCTCAGATCTTAGACTACCCGACGCAGCAGCACAAGCTGTTCATCTGCATAGCAACAGCACACGCACTGCAACTCACCGGGCTGTGGCTGTGGCGGACCTTCGAGACTTTACTGGCCGACATGAGGTCCGGCAATACTGACTCCTTGCCAGAGGTAAGATTATACACAGTCTTTAACAACTGTTTTAAATTTAGATTTTTGTAGAATAATTGACAAAGCAACATTAAATAGGAGCAGATATCCTATGAAAAACATTGCTTTAGTATTTCTATAAAATATTATATAAATTGAAAATTTAAGTTATAAAGTTCCTCGAAATAATATTAAAGTTTTGTTAAGTCGTAATGATTAGGTATTTATCTAACAAATTCTAAAATTAATCCTATCTTACGTTCACTCTGCTAGTTCAATGACCATGTCGTAGATCGTCGTGTTTTGTCGTAGGCCGTCGATACTTGTATTACTGGTTTTATAGGGTTCTGTTTTCTTTTAGATTTTAGGTGTAAGTTCGATTTCATCTTCATTACATTCTGTTAGCGATAAGCAAATGTTAACATTTCGGCTAATTTCCCAGAATTATTACTTTAAAACAGAGCTCCAAATAGACGTAATACGTAAATAATTGAAAAATATTGTTCCAGTTGCATGCACTATCAAGCTGCCTGAAGGCTGTGAGCACGTCAGACTCTGCCGCCCTCATCGAGCAGTGTCGCTTTGCGTGCGGCGGCCACGGCTACATGCTGTCCTCTAACCTGCCTCTCTTGTACTCTTTTGTTACTGCAACGAGGACATATGAAGGAGATTATACAGTTCTACTGCTGCAGACGGCCAGGTTTGTAGTATACGTTAGGATTGACATAATTTTTTTTTAGGTTTATTTTTAATTTATTCTATTACACTTGGTTATCACAAAATATTTAAATACATCACCTTCTGTATTCCACATTATATAATATGTTTCCATGCTTTTTTCTCATGTTTTGCACTGCAATGTACCAGTAAAGTGGAGGGGATAGACTCCTGAAACATGGCGAATTAGTTTGAAAGTCAACGCGCTGTCAAATATATTTATTCTAAACTTAGCAATGCTTATCGGTAATTTCCAGGTTCCTAGTGAAAGCATGGGAGCAGGCAGAGAGTGGCAAAGTTCTAACACCGACAGTGGCTTACCTGGCGCGTGCGGCAGCCAGGGAGAGAGCTGTATGGAGCGACTCGGCTGATGGGATGATACGCTCCTTCCAAGCTGTCGCTGCAGGGTAAATTTTTCCGTACTTTGTAATAATAGAAAATTTGCATATTTAGAATTTGACAATATTGGTTTTGATCTTATTTTTTTAGTAAAATAGCAGCGTGTGCGCAGAACATAAAGCGACTTACTAATTCTGGAACGAATTTAGAAGACGCGTGGCAGCTGACAACCGTGAGATTAGTTGCAGCAGCTGAGGTACTTTATTTATTGACTAAGAATAAGTTCTAAGTTCTTTTAATTACGATATTATCTGAAGCTAGATTAGCTCTACTTTATGTCTCCAGGCTCATTGCCGCGCTATGATCTGCCAGGCGTACTGGCATGAAGTGACGCGGCAGACAACATCCAGCAGTACCAATGTGAAGATCGTAATGGAACAGTTGGCAACGCTGTATCTTGTTTATTGGGCGCTGGAGACTACTGGAGACCTGTTAAGAGTAAGAATAAAAAGAAGTTTACATTTCCTAATGTTAATAAATTAGGTTACATTTTGGTTAAATTAAATGTGTCAGCTAAAGGAAATAACGTGAACTATTTGTTGTAGTATTCAACGATATGTGAAAAAGAACTGAATAAGTTGCAGCTTAGATACGAAGAGTTGTTGGCACTTATAAGGCCGAATGCTGTTGGTTTGGTGGACGCTTTTGATTTCAGAGACGAGGTTTGTTCTTCATCTATTATTTTTGTAAATTAAATAATTGACAGTCACTTTTCTTAATTGCTGGTTATTGATCTGGCGATCCGCAGTACGAAGTATTTAATAGTAGTAATGAAGCATTCATCAGCTCAATTTCTTTCAGATTATCTTAGCATAGAATAGTTAACATTGTGGGACTATTGTTCTTTTGTTTAGATCTTGCATTCAACGTTGGGCGCATACGACGGCCGTGTGTACGAACGTCTCATGGAAGAAGCACTGAAGAGTCCTTTAAACGAAACTTCCGTTCAATCAAGTTTCCACAAATACATTAAACCGTTGGCGAAAGGAAAACTTTGATGTAAAAATTGTTTACACAAAATATTGCAGATTCCGTAATAGACTGATATATCGTGAATTACAATAGCTAAGAAAATAGTTCTATGATACTGTAAGGTTTTGGGGTGAATTTATAAAAAACGTATTATGTTAGCGGCCTAATACTGACACTAATGTTTAATACTTCTCTTCGTAAGCGTCGCTTACAATCTGATAGATGTTGAAAGTATGGAATTTCGAGTTTAAACGTGGCAATATCTATAAAGACCTTAGATATTTAATTGACGTTTCAGTATTTGGCCGTAAAAATGTGAAGTAAACATACTTTGCAGTCAAAGAATTTTGAATCGTTATAATATAAAAAGAATGCTATTGTTATTTAAGGAGACTGATAGGTATGGATGGCCATATATCTATCAATATATGGCCATATATGAATATATATTTTTTTTAAGTACAGTGATTACAACATAAATATTAACTAAATAAAACAAACGAATTGATAACCCCCTTCTTTTGGGAAGTCGGTTTAAAATAATATTGTAGCGGTGTGAGGTAATTCACTTACACGGTAAGGCATTTCATTCATAAAATTATTTATTAAAAAAAAAAAAACAATTTATAATCTTATTGCAATGCTTCCTATATCTTCGTATATCTTATCTGTTATGCTATATCAAGACCAAAGCGGACTAATCATAGATATCTAAATTATTATGTTTATTACTTTTCGATAAATACGCATGTTATCTTTTAAATTGATAATAAGGTTATGTTCGTATTGTCAGTATAAAAACTTACGTATAACAATGATTAATTTAAATAATTACAAATGTATTACACCTACATAAATATAATATAAATGCGATGAACATGACTTTTTTCTATGTATTGTAAAAAACTAACGATTACAAATATAGCGACAGACGCAAACGTCAAGACTTTCCACAATTTTGTTCTCAATTACGATTTCGCTCCTATTTGTCGACAAGTAAACATGGATATCGACTCTATCGCGTTATCTTCGTAACAAATTGTTTTCATACATCAGTGTCATTTTAACTCGTTACTAAAGTAGACATTGTTATTGTGAATATGATAAAATAAATATTTTGTAATAAAATTTTTGTGCGTTAAATGTGTAAAAGGGAACAAACAAATAATTTGTACTTTGGCCCACAGATTATATTAGATTAGATATTATTTCACGTACTTTAGACTCTACATCTAAGATTTAAAAGTGATAATTTACTTGTTTGTTTCCAGTTGTTTATATAGTATTGTGCAATATGGCCGCAAACAAAGTAAATATAGATTTACAAAAAGAACGCGCGAAATGCAACTTTAACACCGAAGAATTAACGAACTTGTTAGACTGGGGAGTTAAATATACCGAGAGAAGGAGAAACTTAGGTATGTTTTCATTGGTCACGCTTAATTTTCATAGTGTTGTACTGTAGTGTACCGGTTACTTTTTAATAAATCGATATTGCTTTTTTTATTTTGTATCCCTGTTTTACGAGATTCTTGTTTGAATTAATAAAGTTTAACAATTAAAATGTTAAAGGTTAGAAGGGAAAAGAATTGATTAGTAGAATTCTTTTGCAATTTGAAATCGGTTTAATTAAATGAAATATAAATTTACCATAGGTTGATGAATTTATTCTTGCTTGACGACAAAAAATCAATTGTTTTTGATACATGTTCATTTATTTCAATACCATTAATACTATCACAATTATCATTAGCACAAATGCATAATAATTTGGGTTTCTATACAATCTATAAAGTCATTGCTCGATTTATGACTGACTTCACGTTTCACTTTAGTATTAAAATCCTACTTCTCGCTTAATACATCCTGTAATTCTGTACTTCAATGGTGACATAAATCAATAACAGATTTTAATTTTAAGAATTATATACATTAAAAAGCCGTACATTATAATATGTATCGCGTTTGTAAAACACTATGTATAAATAAATTTTTATTTATTAAAGAATTTTCTTTCACTAAAGTATAAAGGCGCCTAAACTAGCAGACGAGAATATTCTCGTACGTGTAAACGGAGCGAAAAAAAGTACAGGCGCAAGGATATATTCAAAGTTTATAGCAGCTTGTAGCTAACTAGAGGAAAAGAAGCGCAAAGGTGTGTCTTGCCGGCGTCCTTTTATGTTTCTCCTGTACCTTGAAATATGTCCAGCGGAACGTCTCGAGTGAAATTTCTCCATAAAGTTTGTATCAATTTATTTGATCATTTTAAATACCAAATTATTCCTATTATTTAGAGCAAAAGGTATTAAGCGTTAAAGGCTTGTTGGATGACACGCCCGAAGAATACTTGAGCCACAAAGAAAAATATGAAAATGCTATCAGAAAATCTGTGTTGTTTTACAAGACTCTACAATTGTTGGATGATGACATGTCTGTTGATGAAAGAACTAGGTGAGATTGATTCTCAAACAATTTGTTACTTATTAAGCCTTGTATGAATGTCGCAAAAGCGAACCAAAACGATTACTGACTTTACCAAACATGAAAATAACGCGACGATGTAGATCAGGGTTTTTTTAGTTCAGTTTCTATTTGTAAGTGTAGCTGCTAAATAGATGGCTTAAACCCACCAAATTCAAGTTTATTAATATCAAATTTGTGTTCTGTTCACATTCGCTTTGCGGTAAAGTACAATCATTATTCAACCAGTATGTTTATTTTCTTAAACTATCTCTTGTAGATCTAACTTCCGTAACTTAATAGCGTCTGCAGTATTCAAAGATAACTCTCCATTCATGCTGCACACGTCCATGTTCATCCCGACTATAATGGGCCAATGTACTGACGAACAAAAGGCGTATTGGCTCAAACGGGCGAAGAATATGGAGATAATCGGCACATACGCTCAGGTTAATTTATCTATTATATTTGCCTTGAATTTTATTAGCTGTGCTGTATTTAAATACGTGATTATGTGGACATGTAAATTTGTTTGTTTTATAGACGGAACTGGGACATGGTACCTTCATACGTGGCCTGGAGACGCGGGCAACATATAATCCAGACACGGAGGAATTCGTTTTGCATAGTCCAGCACTGTCCTCTTATAAATGGTGGCCTGGAGGCTGTAAGAAGATTTATTACAATATTATAATAATTAATATAAACATACACTAAAAATATTAAAGGTCCTTAAAATTCAAGAGTCATTAGCAAATATGTAAAATTATAAAAACATATAAATTATACTTCACAGTGGCCCATACGGCGAACTATTGCGTAGTTATGGCCCGTCTCTATATAAAAGGGAAGAGCCACGGGATCCAACCTTTCATGGTACAGATCAGAGACGAAGAGACCCACATGCCTTTGCCTGGAATCAAACTCGGCGAGATCGGAGCCAAGCTTGGTTTTAATACTGTTAACAATGGCTTTCTGGGCTTCGAAAACCATAGAATACCAAGAGACAGAATGCTAATGAAGAATGCACAGGTGTCGAAAGTAAGTCATCGCTTTTTCGTAGGTTTCCGTTGCCTAAAACATGTAAGGACACATGAATTTAATGATATTCCAGGACGGTACGTTCGTAGCGGGCAGTAACAGCAAGTTGACGTACGGCACTATGGTATTTGTTCGCGTTATGATAGTGAACAACATGGCCAATTTGCTTGCTAAGGCGGTTACCATAGCTGTTAGATATAGCGCTATCAGGAGGCAGTCGCAGCCTAAACCGAAGTAAGTGGTATTTAGTTAAATCTAAGTCATACACAAATTACTTATCTCTCCCATAAAAGTAAACGGAGACTTTCAATTCAGAATTATCTATCAAGTCCTACAAAGATGTCATTTATACTCGTATGTTTAAATAATAAACGAAGATGTTATTTGGTCATCTTTTCAGTGAACCGGAGCCACAAATCTTGGACTACGTGACTCAGCAGCACAAGCTGTTCATCGCAATCGCCTCGAGCCACGCATTCTCCATCAACGCCATGTGGCTGTGGGAGATATACCACAGCGTCACCACACAACTTGCAGGCGGAAACCTTGAGAACTTGCCCGAGGTAAACATGAAGCGATGAAAAGACGACAGCTTATCACATTTCTGCAACACAAAGTTTGGAACCCAAGCTATGAATAATCAAATAATATTTTTTCCAGTTACACGCGTTAGCTTGTTGCCTGAAGCCATTGAGTACAATAGATGCTACGGCGATGATAGAGAAGTGTCGGCTGGCGTGCGGCGGACACGGCTACATGCTGTCGGCCAACCTCGCGCAGACGTACGGACTCGCCACCGCCGCATATACATATGAAGGCGAGAACACAGTGCTGCTGCTGCAAGCTGCTAGGTAAACGAAGCAAACACTCGAAGTTATAAACTTACTAAAAAATTGCATCGTTAGTAGCTTATCCCCCTTTAGTTTATTCTACTTCCGTAGGGTCGGTTCACCGGGTTTTCGTTCTGCAAAAAAATCTATTATCCGTCATCTCAATCATCACTCCCTTAGTGATTATGTCACCTTTTGCGCAATTAATCTATGTATCATGACGGTTGTTATACGTGAAGATGTTTCTTATTATTTGCAGATCTTTAGTAAAAGCCTGGAGCGCTTATGTTAAAGGCCAGGCTTTGAAAGGCACAATGGCGTATCTAGCAGGAGACCCTACAGTGAAGTCGTGGGATGGCTCCGTTGACGGAATTATACAGAGTTTTAAAGTTGTTGCTATACGGTAAGTATATTAAAAAATATGGATATTGAATCATGGAGTGATTTAATTAATTATTAATTTGTTTTTAGTAAAATATCGAGCGTTGTGAAGATTCTTGAGGAATACGAAAAATCCGGCCTATCACCTGAAGACGCTTGGAATAAGGCGTCAGTGCTCCTTACTGCAGCATCAGAGGTATGTTCCCTTAAAATTGTTACTCCCGCACTGACATTCAGATCGGCTAACCTCCACATGTTATTCTGAGAGTTTCTACTGTCTCGCCACATACAAAATAACATATGTTATCTCTGTTTGTTTTCAAAAGAATTAAAGGGACAATGAGCTTTGTACGTGTATTTCGTAAAAGCAGTGTTGTTGTTTATGTATATGTTAGTAGTTGATTTTTCTTGTATCAGGCACACGGCAGAGCTATACTCCTCTCCGTGTACAAGTCTGAAATGGACAAGAGAGCTGCCGCGCTGTCTTCGCCTTTGAGGACTGTCTTACTACAATTAGTAGACTTGTACGTCACCTACTGGGCTCTTGAAAAAGTTGGCGACATGTTACTGGTAAGAGATTTTTTTCTAGTTAGATTTGCCTAATATTTTTACGTTAAAAGAAAATGTTGATTAGATACTTAATTAAGTATAGTTCCCAGTTACTATTTGAAATTGGATTTTTTAGTCTCGACTTTAATTATTTTCTTATATTGAAAAATATCCTCGCGATCAAATATGCGTATCATTTTATTTCGTATTTAATTCAAGTATTTTTATAGCCTTATTTATACGTCCTCAATCATTGATAAATTCGCGATATAAAAAAATCACCGTTTGCTAGTATCGTTTCCGCAATCGAGTATTTCGTAGTCGTAAAGTCTAATGAGATACATTTGTTAATTAAAACTGGTTGATTATAACATAAATTACATTAATTCGATCTAATAAATAAAAGTAATTTGAACTTTTATAGTTCATTGACACAATATTTAATGAAGATTGTATAATTTAGAATAGCCGTAATAATTATATAGGTAGGAAAATTGGGTTCGTAGATCTTTAAAGAAATCAGAATTAATCAAAAAATGGCGACGTTGACCATCTCGGTGTTCTCGTCGCTCGTTCGCCGTCTTTTGTTATATGCATGTAATTTACAAGAAGAGATGAAAGGACAAATAACCCAATCAGTTTTTTTAACCCTTTCTTGTTTTCCTAATTAATTTGTCGTAGTACTTAAGGCAAGACTAATTATTAATTTGTTTAGGAATGACAGTTAAAAGACGCCAACGGAATTATTAAAGTGAACGCACACGTAGTAAAAAATCCACACATTATAATTTGACATTTGTCGGTTAACAAATGGATGACTGGCGTATTGCTAGTTTTTTGTAGAAGATCTATACGGCCTAATTAACATTGACCTCTGAATCAACACCTATTGTGATTGATCTGATCTCAAGCTTGCGGGCCGACACTACAGTTATGTTGATAGCGGTCGCCTGCATCACATTGCAATAGGAAAAAAATGTAACAAAGCGTCCCGGAAACAGCTCTGTGAATGATAAAATCGGTTGCTTGTCCGTTTAGAAAGAGCTATAATCATTTTTAAACTCTTTGTTTACCTGTATTTTTTTTTAATAATTGAAATCAAAATACGAACATAACCTAAAAACTAAACTTTATGAATTTCTGAACTAAAAAGTATAAGCTATTTAATTGACAGACTGTTTAATTTAAATACGTTGCTTTATTTATATTAATAGATTAAATTTAATTTAATTTTTCAGTATACACCGATCACGGAAAGAGATGTCGTCGAACTGCAGCGACGATACACGGACCTATTGGCGGTCATCAGACCCAATGCAGTCAGTTTGGTCGACGCCTTCGACTTTAGAGATGAGGTTCGAATACGTGTTATTATAATCAAATGTCATATTAACATTGAAATAAAATAAAAATACACTAAAAACAAAACAAAATGCACTAAAAACAAAACAAAATATTCTCAAAAAAACAGTACACTAAAAAGTAATGAAATAATTA